AAAAAAAAAAAAACTCCTTATTCAGTGCAAATTCTCAAAGCGCACTGTTCTTACACCATTCATGTTCAGTTACGCGGCTAGCCGCGTTTTCAGTGACACAAGAAAAAACAAGCTTAAAGGAAAGGGGAAAGGAGGATCATGTGGAGAAGAGAAAGAGGAGGCCGGTTGAGAGGGCGACATGAAAGAAGAGATGGTGGAGGCACAGAAGAGGAGTTTGATGAGGATCGAGGATTGCGAGTCCCATTTCTCCAATGACCTGGCGACATGGGTGAAAAATGCGATACGATCCCACTCGCCACATCAGCCACGGTGCGAGACGCCCCTGTCGCGCACCACCGGCCACGAGTGGCGAGTGGAGGAACGAAGGTCCAAGAACGAGGAATCGGATTAAAGACTAAAGGGCAAGACAGGGCAGGGAAAAAATCGTGAGTGGAAGCAGCTAGGATGACGAGATGACCCGAGACTGAAATTAATTGGATAGAGAAGTTCCTGGACAAGAAAGAGGAGTGACGGAGGAGAAGGTGGAGAGCGTAATACGTGCCATGTTAAGTATTTTAGAATATTTATTACAAAATTTTAACTTAGTAACTATTTTGTTTTCATTTTAGTGTTTGAATTGGAACAAATGAAGCTCAAACCCAAAGTTGCTGTTGCGTGTTTAGTTGTTTCGATTTGCGTTTAGCACTGTCTTTATGGTTAGTGTGAATAATTGTACTCTTTCTGAATTTGTCTCTTATCTTCTATATATAGCCTTAGCATATCTGGGGAAACACCTGTATATTTACAATTTATCGATATCCTTTTTTACAATTTATCTACAACTACAAGTTGAGTTTATTAATGATCTAATGGTTGTTTCTTTTCAAAATATAACTAAAACCCTTACAAAAATGTCTGTTCTCTTAGACTCAAACATGGTTTTTTCTTTTCTTTTTTTCTTATACATACAAGTCTACCCTGGAGAGATCATGGATGCAAATGAATATGGTTGCAATCAAGGTTTGTAGTGAATTTATTTTTATGCTAAAATCACAAGTGCAAGTGAATATGGTCTTGGATTCAACATATAAAAAAATTCTAGACTGACTAACAGTTGGTGATTATTTTACTATACTTTTTGGTTTTAGTCATAATTCCAACTTTCAAAACCTTCACTGGAATTTAGTATTTGTGGTAGATTGGTTTTCTTTTTTTTGCCTGTTGTATCCTATCAACTCTTTCTTTTTCCATATTAATTATTAATGTAATGCATTGTGGCAAAGGCAGTATAATGGTAGGGTTTATGCAGAGGACTCATAAACGTACTCCTTTTTTTCTTTTTTTTTTCTGTTCTAGAATTTGTTGTCTTGCTTAAAGACAATATCTATTGGTCAGTGATAGCAAACGAAGAAAAAAGTCAAAGTTTGGAAGGACTAATTCTGTATAACTATTCTAACAAAATACATGCTATGAAAATGTAAAAATTTTAAGTCATGCCTGATAAAAGCAATTGAAAGACAATCTCTGTCCATTTTCATATTTAGTACAATCAGTTCTTTTGGTTCCCTTCTTCTTATTATTATTATTTTAAATAATGCTTTTTGAAAGATCTGTGTCTGTATAGAAGTTTAATGCTGTTTTCTTCTTAACCATTTATTTGTGTTTATAGAGCAAGGAGGAAAAGTACTTTATCAACAATTGCTTGAGCTTTAGAATAATGTTTCACAGAGATCATGAGACTGACTCTGCTCAAATTGACAGGTTTGAGGTTTCTGCAAACAGGTGTTGTACCAATTTCCTGTCTGCCTTTGTTCAACTTTCTTTACTTTCTCTGTTATGACCTTTTTTTGAACTGTGTTCTTACTTCTAAAGTAGTTTGTATGCAATTATGGATTATTCATTTTAGTTTGCAACTGAATAATCCTCTTAGGAACAGGGGAAAGACGAGGGTCCACTTTGTGTGTGGCTAAGGCACTTTGTGAGCTTCAGTTGGAATCGCACCAGTAGTCTTTAAGTTTTGAGGTTGTTGAAGTTGGAAGAAAAACACAATGCAGGACTAAAGTAGAAGCTAAGGGTGTGGATTTCTTAATTATTGAACCCTCCTTCCAATCCACAAGGTGAGGTTCAGTTGGGATTGTACAAGTAGTCTTCAAGTTTTCAGGTCCGTTGTGGAGAGGTGGTATTACTATTACCAATTCTTTAATGATTGAACCCTCCATCCAATCCATGAAAGAGTCTTTTCTGCTCCATCCTCTTTGCATTAGTTTGGGTGCATTGATTTAAGTAGGATTATCTTCTAACAGGGTTAAGTGAAAAGGATGCTGTGTTTGTCAGACAGTGAGGAGAAGAAGGTGAATGAGTTTCAAACGATTATTGAAGCAATTGGAGTAGAAGAAGTAGAATGCTTGAGGAGGTTCAGAGGGAGGGAGTTCAGATCCCCAACTTTGTTTGAGGATATGGTCAAATGCATTCTCCTTTGTAACCACCAGTATGTCACATCTATACCTCTTTCTCTTATTACTGTACTGCATATTTCTTAATCAGTCATTGAATAATCATCCTTGGCATGGCTTCATTTTGCCACTAGAATCCATCTGGTGGCTTATGGCTTTCAAAACGGCCAGCAGGGGAAACAGGGATGAGTGAGCAAGGGAATCAATTGGGTTAGCTAGGGTTCATAATCAATGAGAAGGCAGAAAAGAGAAGACAATAAAGAGAGGAAATCGGGCAACTAAACTTGCTAGAACTCTAGTCAACTGTCACATGTGAGTTTCACATTCTTCGTTTTAGGGTTTCTTCACTTTTCTTAATCCAAGTGATTTCTTTTTTGATTTATTTAGAATTGGTGCAAAGGAGTGACAATGTTTTAGTAGCTTTTGTAATTTTAAAGTTCTTTTTTTTTTTTTTTTTTTTTTGGCCTTCTTTAAAGTTCCATTAACTTCTTGAGATTGATGATTTCATTGAGTTTGGGATGAAATATCTAGCATTGATGTTGTGGTATTTTGATTTTTTTCATTTTTACATTTGGTTTTTGTTGGTGTTTTCATACAAATTATATGACAAATTGACAATTCAATTTGATATACATTTATAAATTTGAAAGTCTAAATTGATCATTCATATAGATATAGAATGCAGAGTTATGAGAACTTATTAGCTTGCCTTCATTTTGCTTTTGCTCACTGATCTATGTCAAGTGGATTTTTGGTCAAAGTGGTTGTTACCTGCTAAATTTTTTGCTTTTTTAAAGGAATTCTTTGATGTTTGATAATGATCCATGGTGCTGGAAAGGAGGAAAATGATGTGTTTAGAAGGTATTTTGAATGATATGCCTCTTGTCAATTATTTGGAATCTTACTTTGGCTTGCTCTACATTTTTCTTCTCTCATCTTGTTGCTTTGGTTGTATCTGTTGCTTTTAAGGTAGAAGAAATAGAAAAAGAAATTAAGGTGTTGGACTAAGGCTACTGAAGTAACAAGAGTTTAGAAGTGGGTTTATTGTCTTATCAAGCAAAGAGTGTGGGCTTCAGCTAAATAAGCCTATGTAACTATAATAGCATATCAACTAATCGATTCCGAATATCTTAGGCCTATTTTTTAATTAAATTTGATCTGCGGTTCATGTATACATCTAGAGCTAAATGAGCTCCATTGTCACGAACCGTGATAATTTAGAAAATTTCCTAGATCTTTTTTATTTATTTATTTCTTGCATGTGTTTTTCCAATTAAGATAGAAATATTTGCACTGCATAGACATAGTAATCATGATGATTGCTTTCAGTGATGCATATTTTTGGTTTGAGCTCTTCGTTTGTGGATCTTCATTACTTTAACTTCTGACTAAAGGGACATTAATTCCTTTTTATTTTCCAAAAAACTTTGGTTGTTTTGGTTATTATAATATATATATATATGTATGTATATATATTCTCAGCTGATTACTTTATATTATTTTTTTTCCATGAATTGTGTGTTTATCTTCTTCCATCAAACAATTGAGCAATATGTGTGAGTTCTTAGGCAATAACAAATCACTGTAACTAAATTTCATGACATTGAAACAATGCCCCTTATCAGGAATCATGAAAAATCTTCTCATAGTTAGAAACATATATCCGGTGGTATTTGCTAATCAATTAATTGGTTGTATGAATATTTAAATCCCTTCTTGCCTGCAGTCCTGTAATTGTCATAGATCATGGACTTCCAAAACTGTTTTAATTCTTGGATTAGGGCAAATTCCACACAGCAACAAGGGAGTGGGGGAGGAGGGAAAACTCAGAGGGAGATGCTATGCCAAGATTATGCTATGATAAATGGAAAAGAAGTGAAATTTCATTTTTTTACTACATCTGCAGTTTCTTGAGAAATCATTTTTTTAAGGGTGCTTAATTATGTCTTCAGATCAACTCAACTGATTATCAAACTTACTCAGAATGTGTTAATTTGCATCTGCATGTTAAATTTCTCCTGTTAAAAAATGTTTTTTTTTCTTTTATTGAGTTTTGCATATCAACCATTCATGCAATCAGCTGAACATATTTCTTTACTTATGTAAATGTTGCTGAGCTGCATGTCACTAAATGGTGGTGCATTTGTACCCTAATGCACATTCAGCAGCAGGCATGTGGATTTTTTATTTAAGATGGGGAAGTTTCTGTGTTATTGACTAGAATTCATTCTCTCATTTCTAAGTGGTGTGATTGTTAGTTCAAGAATGAGTATTTATTTGTCAATGGAATATGACTTATCTTGAGTTCAAGTCAAGCGGCAACCCATGGTTATAACTCATAATGTAAGAGAAGAGTGTTTCCTAGTTCCAAATATGTTTATGCCATCCTTCAAAAAATTATTGAAATTTATTATTAGGAGTTGGGACCATGTTTGTTAAAGCATTAAGGTGCTTAAGATGACTTAATAATTGTACAC